CCAACAAAGAAAAGCCCTGGACAAGATGACTTCTACAGAACTCTACCCAATGTTTCAAGAATTTACACCCATCCTCCCCAAGCTATTCCAAACAATAGAAAAGGAGGCATTCCTTCCAAATGCTTTCTATGAAGCCAGTATCATCTTAGTGACAAAGCCAGATAGAAACACAACAGAAAAATGGAACTATAGACCAACATCCGTGATGAACATAGACACAAAAATCCTCAACAAAGTACTAGCAAACAGGAAGCAACCATCAGGCAGATCTACCACCTGACCCAAGAAGAATTTATCCGTAACATGTAGGGATGGGTTAATAGTCACAAAACAATAAATGTGATACACCACATCAGCAAATTGAAAAATAAAAATGATCATCTCAATAGATTTAGAAAAGGCATCTGATAAAATCCAACACCCCTTCATGGTAAAAACCTTAAAACAGACAAGCATAGAGGAACATTGTATAACACAATCAATATAAAAACCCAAGCAATATAAGTGATATAAAAAGCAAGCAATATTAAAAACCCAACGCATCATACTAAATGAAGAAGACTGGGAACTTTTCCACTAAGATATGAAACTAAACAAGAATATCCAATTTTACCACTGCTATTCAATATAGTATTGAAAATCCTTGCTAGAGCTTTTAGGCAAGAGAAAGAAATTAAAGGAATTCAAATTGTAAAAGAGAAATTAAAATTACCCCTGTTTGTAAATGACATGATTCTGCACACAGGAGAACCAAAAGACTCAATGAAAACACCACTGGAAGTCATCAGCGAATTTGGCAGGGTAAGAGGACACAAAATTAATGAATATAAATCAATGGCGCTAGTATACACAAATAACTCCATGTCAGAGAAAGAACTAAGTACAGTTCCCTTTAAAATAGTGGAGAGGAATTTTAATTACCTAGGAATTAACCTAACCAAAGATGTGGAAGACCTCTATGATGAAAATTATAAAGCATCAAAAAAAGAAACAGAAGCCATTAAAAGATAGAGAAATTTTCCATGTTCCTAGTTCAGCAGGATCAACATCACAAAATGTTCATATTACTAAAGGTAATATACAAATTCAATGCAATCCCAATCCAAACCCCAACAATATTCAAACAATTTCCAAACTGAAAAGATGAGACAAAAGTTCAGCTGGAAACACAAAAGACCACAAATATTCAAAGTTATCCTGAAGGATAAAAATCAAGTTGGAGGAATCACAATTCCAGACCTCAAGGTATACTACAGAGTAGTGGTCATCAAAACAGCCTCATACTGTATAGAAACAGAGAAGATCAATGGAACAGAATAGAAACACCGGAACAGAGCCCACACATGTATAATCAACTAACCCTTGACAAGAAAACTGAAAACAATTCAAGGAAAAAGCCTGGTCTCTTCAACAAATGTTGTTGGGACAATTGGATAGCAGTCTACAAAGGCAAGATGCAAGACTCCAATCTCTCAGCTTATAAAATAATCAGCTCTAAATGGATCAAGGACCTAAATCTGCACCCAAAAACCATTAAACTATTAGAGGACAACATAGGAAGTACTCTGCAAGATAAAGGAATTGGGAAAGACTTCTTGAAAAAAGCACCAAAAGCTCAGCTGATCAAAGCAAAAATAAACAAATGGGACTACATTAAACCAAAAAAAGCTTCTATACAGCAAAGGAAACAATTAACAAAGTGAATAGCAATCAAAAGATTGGGAGAAAACCTTTACATACTACACAGCTGATATGGACTAATATCCTGGATTTACAAAGAGCTTCAGAAACTGAACAGCAAAACAAACAATCCTGTGAAGAAATTAGTGAAGGAAATGAACAGACATTTTTCAAAACAACAAATTCAAATTTCTAATACACATATGAAAAAATGCTCAGGCTCCCTAGCTGACAGGGAAAAACAAATGAAAGCCACATATAAGTTCCACCTAACTCCAATAAGGTTTGCCTACATTCAGATCTCTACTAACAATATCTGTTGATGTGAATGTGGGGAGAAAGAAACCCTCCTCCAATGTTGGTGGGAGTGTAGGCTAGTATAACCACTATCGAAGTTACTATGAAGATTTCTAAAAGAACTGAAGCTTGATCTGCCATATATGACCCAGTTATCCCAGTCCTGGGAATATATCCAAAGAAAGTGAGATTCCGTATGAGAAAATGACCACAATTACAGCAACACAATCCTCAATAGCAAAGACATTGAAACAACTCAGATCCCCATCAAAAGAGGGGTGGATAAATAAACTGCGCCACTTCTACTCTATGGAGTACTACCCAGCCATTGAAAAAAATGAAATCCTACCATTTGCAGCAAAATGGATCCAAACAGAAATCATTATGTTGAGTGACATACGCAAATCCAAAAAGGACAAATATCATTTGTTCTGTCTGATAAAAGTAACCTTCATGTAAAATACTTGTATATATCAATAGATATATAAGTAAAAACACATGTGCATAGAATCATCTAGAGGAACAGTATAATAGACATTACAATACTAAGATATGAAAATACAATGCAGTATGCATCTCTACTTCCAAAGATGGACTCCCAATGAAACTGTTTACTATATCTTGAGAATATGATGCTGTACTCTGCCATTTTCCATACCAACAATGTCAGGATAAACTTAAATAGCTTAAATAAACTTATGACTGTTTATGAAGGACTATGCTGCTATAACGATATAGGGGAAATCAGTTGTGGGAGGGAATTTAAGAAAGGAGGAGGGGAAATTCCAGAGTATAAAACTGGATGATGAAATTAGTCATTTTTTAAAGGGGAATCTGTGTGCCAGAAATGAGTTCGATTCCAGCTCAGTAGATGCTCAGTACTGTCCCTAGCCTTTGCATCCTTAAACAAAATGGCACCAGATTTGGCTCAAAGGGGCAGACTGGGCTGTGAAATCTACCCTGTTCCCGCACGGCCTATCTGTGACCTGCCACTCTGTCTCTGCTCCTGGTCAAATCAAATAGACCAGCAGGATGGACAGTTCTTTCTGGGTTCACCTCCTGAGTTCCTGGGGAACGTCCCTTCCCACCTTGTCGCTGGTGGAGTTGTAGCTGTTGGTGGAGTTTAAAGCATGGCTTGCTGAATGCCACTGAGGTATCAGTCACTGCAACACTACCTGTTGTTTCTGCTGCTTTCCTGTATCTGTCAGTCTCCAGGTGCCACTCTATTGTCGTTCTGTCCTCTCCTATTTCCTGGAATGTGCCCTCTCTGTCTCACACTGGCTAATGTTTCTCCATCTGATTAAACTTGTCCTTACCCTATTCCGCCATCTTGATCCTCTCTATCCAACTACACTTTTGGACAGAGCGTCCAAGCACAAGCATTCACACCTCAGTGGGATACCTATACACAGCTGAAAGAATGTGCCAAAGCAAATCCTCTAATTATAAACCTAATTCAAAAAGAAACCTTGTTTCAAAGCTCAACCTTTAGCCATGGTTTTACTTCATTTCAACATTTATTCCTTAATTCAAACAGAATATTTTTTAAATGCTAGACTAAAACACTAATCTACTTTTTGAAAATAAAACTGTGATTGCATAGAACCATGAACATAAAAGCACAGAAACATGATAGAAACATGTCACTGTTGCTAAAGGGATCAAATATTTCTCAGTTCATTATCTTCTCTTAGCTGTGGTATATAATTTTGGAGAATTAAAACAACCCATAGATTCAGTCTTCACTGCTGTGAAAATATTGATTTGCACAACTATTCTTTGCTTCAGTGCCTTCTTTTTATATAATACCAATAATATCTTAACCAGATAACCCATCTAAAAGCTAGCATGATGCTTGATATATAGAAATTATTATTTCCAATGAAATTATTCTTAATCTAGGATGGCTTTGTGGCCTGTTAACTTTATCTAGGTTATCTTTAATCATGATCATATGGGTTTTCCTTTTTAATACATGAACATTTCTAATTTCTGATGAGAAGCATTTTTATGCTCCTGAAAGTAGTCTCATCTGCTTAAGGCACATATTTTTTTAAATATGACACTGAATTAGATTTGTTATTTGTAACTTGGGATTTTGCATCCATATTCATAAGTAAGCCTGGTCTCCAGTTTTGCCTTTGATTCTGGCTTTGGTAAATTAAAGTAGACTGAATAAATCTCTATTTGCTCTAATCTCAAGAATAAATCAGCTAAATTGAAAATGTGTATTAACTGAATGTTTGCAAGAAAAACAAGTAAAATCATCTTGTGGAAGTTTTATCCAAACATGTTCTGACTGTTGACTTAACACAATTTAAATTATCTGTCATTTATGTTTTTCTTACATATCATTAACTTCCGTCAGGTATTCTAATTTACTAATCAAAAACTATAAACACTTTTAATTGATATGTTCTATGTTTTTAGTTCTGGTGCCATTATAATTCTTGGTGGTCTGTATTATTTTATTAGTACATTGAAAAATATACTTAGCTTAGTTTTTTTTAAAAGATTTATTTATTTTTTATTTGAAAGGTGGATTTCCAGGGAGAGGAGGAGAGACAGAGAGGGAGATTTCTCATTCATTGATTCACTCCCCAGATGGTCTCAATGGACAGAGGTGGTCAAATCTAAAGCCAGGGTCCAGGAGCTTCTTCCAGGTTTCCCACATGGATTCAGGGGCCCAAAGACTTGGAGCAGCCTCAGCTGCTTTCCCAGGCCATAATTAGGGAGCTGGATTGGAAGTGGAGCAGCTAAGACATGAACTGGCACCTATATGGGATTCCGGCACCACAGGTGGAAGATTAACCTGGTATGCCACTGCACTGACCGCTCACTCAGTTTAGTTTTTTCAAACCGCGAATATACCTGTTATTCCATGTTCATAGAGGTCCAGTCCCAGGTACTGGAGTATAATTTTTCTGCTCCAGAACTGTAAGGAGTCATTTACTTTTGGGCACATGAAAGAACAGTTGCAAGTGTAATATTCCCATATTTCAAGGAGCAGTGAATTTATCTACTTTTTCTCCTTCCCCTGCAGGAAGGGTGGAAATTATTCACAGTGTTTTCTTCTCTAAAGACCAGGGAAGTGGAGACTAAGAAAATGTCAGGGAGATCCTACAGCAACAAGTAGCTGATTGGACATGATGGGACACCCTCTCAGCTTGACCTATCCCAGGAGTTAAGGCAGAGTGGGGGTAGAAGAATAGAAAAATTATAGCATGAAATGATTGACTATTCTTGGTAAGGAAGTGCAGTTTCTAGAATATATGGAATATGGATCCTTCCCAGACCCTCAGGAGCCTGAATCAAAATAATTAATGGTAGATGAGACTGAAGGCCATGCACTGGCCATCGATTAAAGAAGCAGGAGGCCAACAAGCAGGAGAGGAATACAGTCCATGACTACTACTAAGACAGTTTTCTGTGGGAGGCTACTGACAGATTTGCTTTGGAATAAAAGCAGGGAAGAAAGGGTCAGAGACTTTGTTCTTGGAAGTCACATGATATTAGAAGACATTGCTTTTGTTCTTAGCCCTTCTTCCAGGAAACTGAGGCTGGGGAGTTAGGAGTAGAAGAAACAGAAATGCCATAGAAAGCAGAGAAAGAATGCACAGATCATGTTTCCCACCACGATAAGCTGCTTATGCCAAGGGAGGAAAATTCAGATGAAACATTACAGAGAAGTTTTGGAATGGAAGATAAACTACCATATATCAAAACTTAATGTAAAGCCACTGGCATGTGAATTCATACATAGACAAATGAAACCGAACAGAGCTCAGAAACAGACATCAGTTTATATAGCACCTTGTGTAAGGAACTAAAATACAATGAAGCAAGGATGGTCTTGTTATTCAACACCATCGGCATAAAAAGAAATGAATCTCAAATCTTATCTTTAGTCACATATAAAAGTTCTAGGTTCTAGGTGGATGAAAGATCTGAATATGAAAGGCTGAAACATAATTTTAAAAAGAACCTAGAATCTGTCCATGACCTACAGTCAGACAGACAAAAAAAATGTCTCAATGCAAAAAAAGAAAAAAAAAAGCACCATTAAGAGAAAAAGAAATGGGCTATTGTGATGGCACAGCACAGTTAAACCATTGCTTGTCTCTGCATTGAGTACCAGAATGCTGGACTGAGCCCTGGCTGCTCTGCTCCAATCCAGCTTCCTGCTAATGTACCCTAGGTACTTGGGCCCCTGCCACCACGTAGGAGACCCACATGGAGCTCCTTGCTTCTGGTTTCACCTTTCCTATACCAGGCTTTTGCAGCCATATGGAGAACTAATCAGAAGAAAGATTTCTCTTCCTTCTTCCACTGCTCCTTTGCCTTCTACTCCCTCTCCTCCTTTTCTCTCTCTCCTTTTCTCTCCATTCTTCCCTTCCTCCCTCTTTTCCTTACATTTTTCCTTCTCTCTCTTACCTTACCCTCACTTATGTTTCCTTCTACCACTCCACCTTCAGATAAGTATGTTTTTGAGTCCTAGCTCAATTGACTGATTCTTTACTTGCAAGTACTGTAATCCTATATGGGTACCAGTTCATGTCCCAGCTGCTTCACTTCTCTTCCAGCTCCCTGCTTATGACCTGAGAAGGAAGCAGAGGATGGCCCAAAGCCCTGGGACCCTGCTTTCATATGGAAGATGTAGAGGAAGGTTCTAGCTCCTGTCTTCAGATTGGCTCATCTCTGCTCCAGCTATTTTGGCCATTTGGAGAGTGAACCAACAGATGAAAGATCTTTCTCCCTCCTCTCTGTAAAAATCTGCCTTTCCAATAAAAATAAATAAATCTTTAAAAATTAATATAAAAATATGTTTTTAAAAAAATAAAGATTGATCTACTGGACTACATTAAAAGAAGAGCTGTTCATCAATAATATCAGTAACAAAATAAAACACAATCCAGAGCTGGTGTTGTGGCATAGCATGTAAAATCACTGCCTGAAATGGCAGCAGCACTTATGGATACAAGTTCAAATCCCAGCTACCCTCATTCGTGATCCAGCTCCATGTTCATATGCTAGGAGAAGCAACACAAGATGGCCCAAGTTCCTGGGGTCTGAACCCAAATGCAAGACATGGATGGGCTTGGGTCCCAGGGGAGCTGAGGGGTAGGGTTCCAGACTAGCATGCTAGAGAGCCAGAGAGGATATAGGACAGGCTGGGCTAGGCCCTGACATCTGCTGAACAACATAAGAGCTGAGTCTGGGACTGGGTCAGGAAAGCTAGGCTGTAGCTCACACAGGTAAGAGCTGGAATGGGTGTGGGCTTGTCAAGCAAGGCCACTGTACCTGGTATTGAATGCTGTGACAGGAGGTGGGCCAAGTTAGGCTGGCTTGGCTGAGCACCAGCCAAAGTGTGCAAGATCTGTGACTGGAAGGCCTAATAAAGGTCTGGGGGTAGGCCAGGCCGGGCCCACTGGCTGATATGAGTACAAGCTGGGACTAGGAGAGGAAACAAGTTGGGGAGGGATAGGAAACCCACTGGGCTGCAGGTGAGCTGGTTTAGGGGGAGAGCCAAGGCTAAGCAACTATATCCATTGGCACATGCATGAGCCAGAGTAAGTGCAAGCTGGTCAGGCTTTGCTGCAGCATTGACTAGCAGGTACTGGGACTCAGGGAAAGTCCTATTAAGTTATACCACAGAACCAACTGGAAAGTGCAAGATCCAAGGCTGGGAGTGGGCCTAGTAGGGAAATTGTGGGAACTCCTCTGATGGGTTGCAACTCCCACTGGTGAATATGAGAACCAGGGCTGGGGGCAGCCCTGACTGGACAAGCACTAACACCTTTCAGCGTTAAGTGTAGGCTGGATAGTGGGGTGGATCAGGCTGAGCTAGGCTGCAGCACCCATTGGTTTGCACAAGAGATAAATGGAATGCAGAATGGATCAAACAGTTTGCACATACCAGCATGTGCAGGAACCAGGGCCGGGGGCAGACCTGGTGGGGGTTGTTGAGGGATGTTCTGACTGGGCTGTTTCCACTGGTGTGTTTGGGGGCTGTGTGTGCTGGGCACGGTTAGGTTGGGCCATAACATTTTCACCACTCTTGTGGATGCATTTTTATTTTTGTAGCATCTTTGTTAAATTCATGTTGATGAAACTTTATTATTTTCACCCTCCCTGTTGTGGACTGTGCTCACTGGTTCTGTATTTTAGGGGATATATAATGGAAGTGTAGCTGGGACTGATATGTTCAGATATGGAGACAAAATGCTGTATGTCTCTGTGCATACAGATCAAAAAGGGACTCCCAGTAAAAGAATTCATTACATCCTGGGCCTGGCACGGTGGCGCAGTGATTAAGGTCCTCTCCTTGCATGCCCGGGATCCCATATGGGTGCTGGTTCTAATCCCGGCAGCCTTGCTTCCCATCCAGCTCCCTGCCTGTGGTCCGGGAAAGCAGTCGAGGATGGCCCAAAGCTTTGGGAACCTGCACCCATGTGGGAGACGCAGAAGAGGCTCCTGGCTTCGGATCAGCATAGCATCGGCCGTTGCGCTCACTTGGGGAGTGAATCATCGGACGGAAGATCTTCTCTGTCTCTCTTCTCTGTATATCTGCCTTTCCAATAAAAATAAAAATCTTAAAAAAAAGAAAAAGAATTGAATATATCCTAACAGTAAGATGATGGACTCGCTGACAATGTCCATGCCTACATTGTTGGGAAACACTTCAATAACAGCATGACGAATTTGTGACTGTTCATGAAGATCAACCATTGTAAAAGTAGAGGGGAAATCAATGAAAGGTTGGAGGAGTGGGGAGGGACCTTGTGGAAGAGCATGAGCAACCCCAGACCCTATGGAACATTATCATAAAACAAAATAAAATATTTTTTAAGATTTATTTTTATTGGAAAGGTGGATATACCAGAGAGGAGGAGACACAAAGAAGAAGATCTTCCTTCCGATGGTTCACTCCCCAAGTGACCACAACGGCCGGTGCTGTGCCAATCTGAAGCCAGTAGTCAGGAGCTCTTCCAGGTCTTCCACATGAGTACAGGGTCCCAAGGCATTGGGCCGTCCTCGACTGCTTTCCAAGGCCACAATCAGGGAGCTGGATGGCAAGCAGGGCCACCAGGATTAGATCCGACGCCCATATGGGATCCCAGCACGTGCAAGGCGAGGACTGTAACTGCTACGCTATCATGCCAGGACCAAAATAAAATATTTTTAAATGTAAAAAAAGGAGTACAAGAATAAAGAGCAAAATAAGAAAGATTTAAATGAGAGATAATGATGGTGAAGATTATACTATGAATTAAGCAGTATGAGAAATTCAACTCCCTGCAGCTGAGGTACTATATATATGAAAATGAATATATGAAAAATTAAATTTGTTCTGAGGTTACCTGTATAACCCTATGTAAGGAACTATACAAACTATTACAGGTCTCTCTATCCCTCTCTTTCTCTCTCTCTCTATATATACACACGTATGTATATATACATATGTATGTATGTATAGAGATTATATATAGATATACATATATAGAGAGAGAGGGGTTGCTCATTTATATATATATATATATATAAATAATATAAGTACATAAACTAAACAAAGCCCTAATTTTATAGGGTACTTTTGCAACAGATAACTTTCAGCCTATCATAGTAGCATGGTGTCAGCAATGATGGGTAGTTGGAACAAGCATTTGGCCTAGAAATTAAAATCCCAATATTCACATCCCATATTAGAATGCCAGGCTTCATTGCCTGGCTCTGGTGTCTGACTCCAGCTTCTGCTAATGTGGACTCCTGGGAAGAAGCAGGTAATCTCTCAGGTCACTGAGTTTCAGCCACCCAGGTGGGAGTCCTGGATTGAGTTTGCTGGTTCATGGTTTGGGCTGAGTCCAATTCAGACTATTGTAGGTATTAGGAGACTAAAGCAGTTGCTATGGGAGCACTCCCTTCACCCTGAAAATTTTCCTGCATCATAAACAAACTAATATAAAGGGCAATGTCTTAGAAAGAATGAGATTTATAAGTTGGCACAGTGGCACAGCATGCTAATCCTGTGCCTTATAGCACCAGAATCCCATATAGGTACTTTCCATCCAGCTCCCTGCTTGTGGCCTATAAAAGCAGTGAGGGATGCCCCAAGTCCTTTGGACCCTGTACTCATGTGGGAGACCAAGAAAAGCTCCTGGCTCCCAGCTTCAGATCAGCTTAGCTCTGGCCATTGAAGCCATTTGAGGAGTCAACCAGTGATGGAAGATCTTTCTCTCTTTTTCCTGTTTCCTCTAGAAAATAGCTTTCAAATAAATTGAACAAAAAAAGAAATCTAGTTACTGTGTCCCTTATTCTCTTACAGAGTCTATATCCATATATACTGATCTAGATCCACCTGCACTTAAAATTATTACACGGGACATGGTGAGAGTAGGGGCAAACATTTAACAAAGAAATTAAAATATCACTTGGGACTTCCTCACCTCATGTTGAGTATCTGAGTCCAAGGATTCAAACTACTTTATTTCTCACGCAGCTTTCGGCTAAGGCACATCCTGGAAGGCAGCAAGCTCAGGCAACTGGGCTCCTGTATCCCACACAAGCCCAGGTTTGAGATCCAGGCTCCTGGCCTCAGCCTGGCAGTCACAATCAGTAGGTGACCCAGCAGCAGATGGCAAGTTGCTGTTTGTCTCTCTGCTCTCTCTGTCTCTGCCTTTCAGACAAATATTTTTAAAAATTGAAGTTATCACAGAATTTATAACATTTTTTTAATTGTCCACAAGTAATCCAATGTCTCCATTATTATTTTTCTTTCAGATTATATTTAGGAAAAGCTATTTATTAGAGGAGCACTTATGAATAATAACTAGTCTTCTACAAAGCTAAAAGCTCTCATGTCTCCCTCCCCATCATCCAGTGTTATGCAGATTTTATAAACAATTAAATCTGTTCACATGCAAACAATTTTAGCATAATCATAAACAATGGTAAAAGAATTCAAACACTTACTTTCTTCATGATCTACCCATGCTTCTTTTAAAAGACACTAATATATCCTATTATGTTTTTCAAAGCTGTTATACATAGTGAATGTTCTTTTCAGAATTCTTTTGACATGCTACTGGAGCAGCTCCAGAAAAAATTAACGCTTTTGGAGAATTATACTGCATCTCTTTTAGTAGCCAACTAGGAAGGGGACTGGAGCTGGAGGGGGTGGGGGAAGCCAAAGATTAAAATAAATGCATTATTCATTTTTAACATGGTAGAGGATTTTTTCTCATTCTTCATTTTAATAGTTCTACAACTAATTTTACTGTTAACACTGAATTTTAGAGTGGAGCTTTATAAATCATTTTTACAAAGAAGGAGGCTAAAAAGATTTTTTTTTTGTTCACCATCAGTGCACAAAATGGAACAAGTGACAATTTTCACACACAATATGCTTCCAATGGGCATGTTCTTATGCATAAAAAAGGAAACAAAGCATTTCAGGATTGTATTTGTAAAAGGATTACTTTAAAAAAAAAGAGCACTGAGCAAATTTCAGTAAAACATCAAAGGCTCTTCAACACTCAAATTCATCACTGGATTTTTAAGACAACATCTAAAGCAAGAAACTTCTGTTGTTTAATATATATAATATGAAAAAAACACAAAGGTAGATTCAAGGGAACCTCTGGAGTCTACACAATATAAACAAATCACAAAGGTAAGCTCCCGACAACCTCTTAACGCTGTTTTCCAAGTCCGTCTTTCTACCAGTCACCTGAACAAGACATTGTTCTACCAAAGCAATTATGCCCTAAAAATGACCTCACAGTTTTATAATGCTATTTAGTTTAGCCCTTCTAAATATATTTTTGCTTAATACAGCTAGAGACTATGAACGCTATCCCAACACCTAAATACAAAACACTACTTGTTATAGGAAATTACTCAACCACTCAAGTTTAGGAAATCACTAGGATTCTTTATTATAAAATAACAAACTATTCTCATGTACTGCTTTCATATTCCCACTCAACAACCAAATGTTACAATTCATTTTATTTTTCCTAAGATCTTACTACCAAAATAATTTAATGCAAGAAGTGTTATTTAAACACAGAATCTAAATATAGAAAGGGAAAGAGTGACAGTGTAAAGGCAGAGAAGCTGACCATAGACAGGGAAAAAAGGGGTTCACTTCTCCTGGATTCAGTTAATGAATTCTTCACAGAGAACTCACTCAGTGTTACGGTACCACATGGGAAGAATAGTACACAATTTTCTATCCCTGGACCACACTGTCAGGAAAAAAAAAAGAGCAATTTTCATGAAGCACAACACCTGAGACACTTCATGTGATGGGGACCATTCAATCCTGCACAGGCTCAGCCTAGTGCTTTTTGGCTTCTTGGCTCTTGCTGTTGTTGCTGTTAATGTTGTTGTTCTACTGGCATTCTACATGAGTACCTCTCAAATTTCTTTATCCATCATTGGCCCATCCCCAAAGACCAATCATGTGTTTCCAATCCTTGCCAAGAATTTCTTTGTACCATTACCTCTCCAAACCAATTCATTTCACCCTACACTTGAAAGGCAAAAACAAAAGCAAAAAAAAAAAGCTGAAGTTCTACCACTTGACTTTTTCCCTGTGGCTGACAATTCCACTCTGGAAAAGCTTTAGGCTTTCAATTTCAATGCATTACCTTATTTGTGCCTTTCTCTCACTCCCATCATTATCAAACTATTCCTAAATTACATGGAACCCAACAACAAATGACTTGGCAAAACTTTAACGGCATCCTTTTCCGATTTCCACTGTCATCTCACCCAAATTTGGAATTTTAAGATCTCTGACATTACTGTAACAAACGCCTAAATTGACCTCCTACTTCAACCTCTTTACCCTCAACTGATTACATCCGCAAAACTAAGCTCAACTGTGATCTTACCCTTCTAATACTCAAAAGCTTCTGGTGTAGTTTTATAAGGATTACTGAAAATATTCAGAAGCTCTTAATCACTAAGACTTCATGATCTCACTTTGAGATCACTCTTCCCAAAATAATCTCATACAATCTCCTTTACATATTCCATATTTAGCCACTGGGCCGAGCTCTGCATTTTAGAAGAATACATGAATTAATGATGTTTTTTCATTTTTCAAGATATACTACTAGT